CCGCCACTATACAAATTTGAAATCGTAATTAATTCAAGCACCCAGATAAGCAATTCCAGCTACAGAAACTGAATAAACACTAATGACCAGAATCTGTCGAAGCCCAGAGTTTTGAGGGAAGGTGGTAAAATGGAGGCAGGACCACTGTGGGAGCTGGGACACACCTGATTCCCTAGGGAGAGAGTTCTTTCCCCACCTTGCTGTTCACTCAGTGGCCTTGGAAACATCATCTCACACTCCCGGGCCATTTATAAAATGAGTGATTGGAAGTCAATGTTTTATAAACTCAGAAAACAAATTAATAAAATCAACAAGCTTGGGGGGAAACTGTAAAACTGATATAAAATGAAACAAATGATCTGAACGATGTTTCAAATAAATCACATACACAGAAAGGGTGCTATAACTAATCAAGTAATGAAGACTACTTACTGTATGCCCTCAAGCTGAAGACAAAAAAAAATCTTGAATTATATATTGAATTCTAATCACTAGGCTTTTTTCAGACTTAGGTTAGTAATTTTGAAAAGACATTGTGTACATCCTAGAATTAAGCAAGTAAGTACATGCATTGTGGACAATAGGATCAGAGTTTCTCCGTTTATATAAATATAGAGAGGAGGAAGGCTAAAAATACCTGGGGATTCTTTGTTCTATTTGGCAATGTTTTTCTAAGTCTGAATTTATGTAAAAAAAAGAAAAGAAAGAAAGAAAAGAAAAAGGGAATGGTTGGACTAAATCAGTGCTTTTTAAACTCCCCTATATTAAAAATCATCTGGAGCTTTTTACCAAAATGTAAAACTCCAACACTCTCTTTCCAACCCTCTGGGTATTCATCTGATCATTTGGGCCTGAGAATGTGCATTTTACATAATTAAAAATACAGTTTTGAAAGGCTGGATTAAATTATCTTTGAGGTCCCTTGTTCTGTGCCTTGGAGGACACAAAAGTTAAGCCAGTTTTAGAAACCTCTTGCTAAGATGAAGAGAATGGGCATGACAACTCTTTGTCTGAACTACATTTATTACAGAGTTGAAGCATCATACAAGTACCAACGGGCATAGATAAGCCCCATTGGCAATCTCCCAGGAGAACATTCAGGAGAAATTCCAGAATTCTTCAAGTCAAGTCATCCAGACATCTCTCAGGAATCAGTGGCCAGAGTTCCATCCTTCCAACAGGACAAGTGCCTACTGGCCTTTGCTATTCTTGCTACCTCTACCTGAAATACTTCCTCCCACGCTGGCACAGCTGACACCTCTCTGCCCAGCAAGTCTCTCCTCAAATGTCAGCTTGTGACAGTGGCCATCCACTCTTACCTGCTTTACCCCACCCCACCCTACCCCTTCACCAGGCTTATTTTTCTTTATCACACTTACCATTATCTGAGTTTCTCATTTGACCGATCAGAACATCAGCTCCATGAGGGAGGGACAGTGTGGGTTTTGTTCACTTCTGTATCCCCAGTTCCTACGACAATATTTGCTCTATATACACCAGGCACCGAATAAATATTCATTAAATGATTTAGCAATGCACACATGTACAGGACTCTATTTCTCATGATGAATGAACATGTTTGCACTGTGGCAGATGAGATATAACCAAATCAAGTGGGAAACAGGACAACTGTATTATAATAAATAAAATTTATTTATTTCTCCCACACAGTTTAAGATAACCATACATTGGAAGAACATCTGAGTTTGGCAACGGTTTTTTGTCTTTTCATCCACAATGGATGTTAATTAGAAAATCAGAGGCTGGCCTTCAACTAATATGTCATAAAATGATGTTATACAGTATTAACTGGTGTTTCATATGAGAAGGGTATCATGGCCAAAACAAATTTGGGACACAGTAGATCCAATCTCCAAAGCAGCTGACAATACCATTCTATTCTACCCACCTTCCTCAGAACCTCTCCTATGAGCAGGGTTCCACAAAAAGCCCTTTGAAAAAGATTGCAGCAGATTACATATTTAAATCACTTTGTACTCAAAAGTTTCTGAACTTTCCACTTCTAATCCTAATCGACAATGACAAATTCATTTCTTTAAGAAAAAATATGGATCGTAACTCTCTAAAAACTGAGCAATGGAAAATGAAACTCTACAATGAATCAAGGGAGATGCAGTTGACTAAATGGCCTCATTTAAACACATTCAAGTTTTATCACAACTGTAAAGTATGGTAAATTTCAAAGTTACGTTCCTCAAGCAGGGGGAAGGGGAAGAGGGACATTCCATTGGGAGACAGTACCAGGGTGAGGAGTTGACAGCAATGAATATGGCACATCCCTTTAGCGTATTGAGTCACTAAAAATATTTTGAGAAACTACATTAAAAAGCATCTTCCCAGTGAGGTCTTCCTTCAACTGACCCACTGCCAACCTTCCTGACTTTCTGGAATGACTTAGGCAAAACTATACCCACATCAGATTTAATACTTAGTGATAATTCATTCATATATTTGAACTCATTCTCACTACATAGTAGAAGCTTCCAAATCAGTGTATTGCAAATTGTTATAAAATTTTAATTTGTAATACTGTCCAAAAATACATAATGGGACAAAATTTACCACACTTATAAAAACATTATGAAACACTTGATCTTATTTTGTTGATTTCACATTTCATTTTCATCATTAAGCATGACAAAAGTAACATCACCACAGATTAAATAATCTAAAAGCCTTCCAAATTAATCACTCAGTATTTTCCAACTATTTCTAAGCTAAATGAAGAACATGATTTTACTGTTATAAACAGAATTTGAAAGCCTTCATATCTTTGGCATTACTAAAATAGGGTATTCAAATGTTGTATCTTCATTTTCACTATAAAATTAAAGTGACAACAAGATGAAATGGAAGCCCACTTACCCAGCTGAAATAAAATTTCACTAATGATTTTAGATGGTTGCTAAAAAAGAGCAAATTGTGTCATGTAGTTTGTAATTAATGCACCAAAAATTTACCAGCCCATATAATTTTATCAGTCTACTTTCTCCAGAGGAAGTAAACAGATAATAAAACTAATGAAATCATATTTCTTGACTACTCTCATCCAATATAAATTTTTCCTTGTCCTCAGAGGATTGGACAATGAGCTCTTTACAAGGCCATTCAACCTGGGCCAGTAAACCACAAAGGCTGTGTTCTAAGATATGGGGGTGTTCCTGAGTCAGCAAGAGGATCCTGCATTTGTAGACAGCCCTTTAAGTCATTAGCAAGTGCAGATCAAGGGTTGATGGGCCTCCGTTAACAATTGCTTTGTGTCAGCATTTCTGTATGCTCCGAAAATACCATGAAATACTGAACTTTAATTAGTAATGCAACAGATGAGAAAATGCTCAGTGTTCTAGGACTAAGCAGAGTTGAAAGAGGGAACATCCTTAGGTGGTGAGTTACTGAAAATTACATCAATGAAAACAAAGCTGATAAGCCCAGTGCCTTTTGGAATTCCTGACACCAGCATTTTTTTCAAGTCTGGCCCGTGGCCCTTCTGCACTAAAATCATGCGGGGACTTGCTCCAGTGCAGATCCCCTCTCAGAAACCTACAGTTTACGTGAGGAAAGCAGAATCTCCTGGTTTCCCTGGGAATCTGCGATCGTCACAAGGTCACCATGTATTTCAGATTCTCAGGAAAGCTTGAAAAATCACATCTGACCAAACCTGTGGCAAGGTCTTTAGCATCCTCTGTACCTGAACACTAGAATTTGTAGCATATATGAAATGCTGAAGTAGCATCAAATGCATGACATCCCTAAATACAGTGCTGTCACTGATTTAAAAGGTGACAGATGAGGAATTAACTGGGCCAACTCCCACAGTGTGACACGTTTTACCTGCACTGCCTAATACAGTGATACCTCGGTTCTCAAACATAATTCGTTCCAGGAGGACGGTCGAGAACCGAACTGTTCGAGAACCGAAGCAATGAAACCAATAGGAAAGCGTGACTCCACAAAGCGTGACTCTCTCTCTGCACCCACACTGATGACGCAAGCAAGGCGCGCTGGGCCGAATGAACGCCATTCGGCTCAACTCGGCTCATCTCGGAAGTTCGAATTCCAAATATTTGTTCGGATTCCGAGACAAGTTTCTCGAATCTCCTGGTCGAATACCGATTTGGTCGAAAACCGAGGCGTTCGAGAACCGAGGTATCACTGTACTTTGCAGTATCAAACTGGCAACAAGAACACAGAGCAAAACAGAACATATGACACCCAGCCATAGGCTGAGGACTTTTAAAAAGTACAAATTCACAGTCCAAAATCTAAATCCACTGAAATAGGAATTTGCACTTTTTTTTTTATCCTCACCCAAGGACATTTTTTCCTTTTTTTTTTGTTCAGATAGAGTGGGAGGGAGAGAGAGAGAGAGAGAGACATCGATGTGAAAGGGACACATCGAGTGGTTGCCACCCGCACAATCCAACCAGGGCCGGGGACAAACTGCAACTGAGATACGTGCCCCTAGCGGGGGCTCAACCCTGGTCTCTCTGGACCGCAGGCCGACGCTCTAACCGCTGAGCCAAACCAGCCAGGATGGAATTTGCACTTTGAAGCAGAATGGATTTGAGGAAAAAGAGGGCTCTCTTTTTATTCATTCCCTTCACTAGGTGGGAGAAGAAAGAAGACCCCCTCCTCAAACCAGGTCTCTTTATTCTGGAATGCCTTTCCTGTCCCCAGGGCTCCCACAGACCCAAGTTCCTTTCTAAGGTCCCCCCTGACCTTTCTGGCTTATTCTCCTCCCACTGTGGGAGCTCTTGGGAGAGGCTTTGCTGCATGAAACTTACCAAATGAAGCAAGTTCCATTTTTAAAGAGTAATACTACAAGGGTAATATCCTTAACCCAACTGTTTAAATAGAAGTGCAAAGCTCATTTTAAATAAATTTAACTTAATTAAATATTAATAATTTGCCTGAATGAGGACTTGCTTGAACCCATGTTCCCCTTTTAAAACCACACATACAGAATCAGTGCACAGCTAGAAAAATTTCCCAAGTTAAATACCTCATTGATATGAGCCCACTCAAAAATGCCAAGATGCCAATCATTATGAATATTTCAGGCCACTGTAAACCGGTACCACGCCACTGGCCTATGGTGGTTAGGATACTGCAGCTCAATGTTGACATGTGGCACAAAAAGCTCAGGGTCCGATCATGTTTCTTTTTTATGTAATTCTGGCTCGGGCATCCGATACAGAGCAGCTGAGAAATAAATTATGTTGCTGAGGCTGAAGATGAGGCACAGAAGTATGGCGCCGGCTATCTGAGGGAAAGACAGGGCCCTGGAGTTGGCCAGGAGCCATTCCTTCCTCAGAGTCTTGTCCAGAAGTATGGCCTCCATCTGCATGTGCGTAGCCAGGATCACACACACGTGGAACAGCTGGTGACTGTGACCTACAGCAAGTATACAAAAGGCCACCAAGATCAGCAATAAAAAGGGAACGACATGCTGAGTGAAAGAAGCCAGACACAAGAGACTCATATCATGTGTCGCTTGTCCAGAAAAGGCAAATCCAGAGACAAATGTAGATTAGCGGTTGCTCCGGGCAGGGGGTGGGGTGGGCATGAACAGGATATGGGCAGGAGGGATCTTAATGGCAGGATTAAAATGTTCTAAACCTCATTTATGGTGATGGTTGTCCAACTTGGTCCATGTAACGAAACGTATCATTAACTTGTATCCTTGAAATTAGGAAATTATGTGATGTGGAAAATATGCTTTTCCACATCAATAAGTTTATTAATAAATTTATTTTGAAAATGTAATGTGAGAAAAAGAAAAAGGCCAACAGAGCAAACCAAATTCACTGATCCTGTTTTTCACATGAAAAAGTTAGGTATCATGTTCTGTCAGAGGTCATCTCTTAAGAGCCTGCACTAGTGAGCTCAGACTGTGACCTCAATGCCAAAGGAGAAGCCAGCCAAGGTCTCTGTTGGCCACTTACGAGGTGGTCCACTCCCCACTGCTGGTTAATCCCAGACATGACCAGGAGCTCTTCCGCCCCATGACCGGCAGGACCCCAGCTCCCTGGAATGCATCCTCGGGGGGTGGGGCTCGGCAGAGGGTGATGGAGTGAGCAGGGTCATGCACATTTGTTGTTGGTGAGAGGAGTACATTGCCCAGGGCTGAGAACTGCTTTGCGGCACAGCTTTCAGAAACCAGGAGTAAGATGAGAAGACCACAGTGTCATGGGCTGACCTATGTCTCCCTCTTCCAAATGAAGTCTTAACCCCTAGTACCTAAGAATGGGACCCTATTTGGAGATGGGGTCTTTTAGAGACAAGTAAGTTAAAATGAAGTCACTAGGGTGGGGCCCACTGTGACTGGGGTCCTTATATGAAGAGAGGAGATGCGGACGGGGACAGGCACAGTGCAGATCACAGGACGAGAGATGGAGGAAATGGCCGTCTGCAGGCCAAGGAGGGAGGGCTCAGAAGAAACCAACCCTGGCGACAGCAGGACGTGACTTCCAACCTTCAGAACTGTGAGAAAATAAACGTCTGCTGTTTAAGCTACCGAGTGTGTGGTTCTTTGTTATGGCAGCACCAGCAGACGCATACAACACAGGAGTTAAATAAGATTCTCCTTCAGTTAAAAAAAAAATTCAATGCTGTACCCCAGGACTTAGCCAGAGTAAGTATTCAATAAATGTGCCCCGGGAAGGGGCAGCCTGGCCACCTGCACAGCTGGGCAGGAGCAGAGTCAGGAATGAGAGCGTAGGAGAGTTAGGGCTTCTCAACAGGGTGGCCAGTGAGTTCCTTACGGCAGGGAGCATCCGTGAGGAAGACTGTGTGTTTAAGGTACCACCCCTGCCTCACTCATGCTATACTAATGGGCTGTCTACAGTTTCCAAAATCTGTGGGTGATGCAGGGAAGGGCTTCTTGTCCAGCAGAGAGCCGTGTTCTCCAATGACACAGGGCCACTCAGGGAGAGATGACCAGTTGTTGTCAGCGGAGGCTCAGACCTATCTCCATCAGGACAGGACAGAAAAAGACAGAAGAGCCGTGAGCCCTGGACAGACGCGGCATGTGGCTGCCGCAGCAATCCCACCGGACAGGAACAAGGAGGAGCTTCCTGTGGGCCAGTGCTAACCAAGCCAGCCAGCACTCCCCGCTCGGGCTGGTGGACAGGGAGTCCCATACCCAGCAGACTCTGATTTAACATCTGTCATTAGTGCTGTCTGGCAAATTTCTCCCCATAGGGGTGTCTTTCTGCTCTGTACCCCTAGGCCAAAAAGGATGGTATAGAGATGAAAAAAAAAAATGTTATTAAGAAGCCAGAGAGTTGGCAAAATAAGACCCAGGGTAACTTTTCTTGCAAATACCAGATTTCATACACAATCACAGCTACTTCCTCCAGCTGGGGCGGGGGAGGTGAATGTGGTCGGTGGGGGCAGGTATGCCTAGCCCTCCTGTCTCTCTCCGTTTTTGAAATCTGCGCTCTCAGCTTTTGCTTGTTGTAATCTCTCCAGTAGGAGAGAATAAATAGGAGATGAAACTCTAATCAAAACGAACAAAGCAAATCTGGACATGGGACTTCAGGGGGACGAGATGGCAAGTTACAAACAAAATGGGCTTGGAAAGAAGCAGAGTGCCACCTGCACACGGAGACAAGGATGACCCCTTGGATCCTGTAATAGCTTATCTAAGGAGCTCTCCTCCCAACACACATCAGCCTCACCAAGAGGGACCCAAGGGCCTCCAGCCAGTCCCAGAGCCAGGGAGGGGTCGCATTCTGCAGTGTCTGCCCTACTTCCCGAGACAGAGAGGGAAGGAACTCTACCAGCAGGTGTAAACCCACATCACTTCTCTAACTTGAGTGAGCTCAGGCGCACCTAGAGAATCACACAGCCTCTGAATGAGTCTGGGCCCCACGCCCCCAGCTTCTGGTTTGGGATGTCTGGGGCAAGACCCGAGAACCTGCCGGTTCCTCGGTGATGCTGAGACTGGTCTGGAATCCATACCTGAGAACCACTCCTCTACCCTGACTCCTGGCCCCATCGCACCCACCTGAACAAGGCAAAGGCAGAGCCCTGCACAGCATTTGGTACCCTCAGAGCTAGGTATACCCTGCCTTTCCTCTTCTTCTTCAGGGATGCCCTCAATGGTCATTTAATAAGGGATTTCATGTTCTAGGTAATAAGAGGGCACCCAGGCCCCATACCCCATAGGAATGCTTTACAATCTTAGACCCACCTGCTCTCCCATCCTCCCTGGCCATTCACTGGCCACGCACATCGTGGCCTCTGTTAACTCACAATTTCATTCCCCTTGGCTTGCACCTGGAGAACCGATTCACTCCTGCCCCCTATCTCCCTCTCCAGCTACATCACAGGTGTCAGGGATGGCAGAGCTCCCTGGGCTGGAGGGCAAGGGCAGCAGAGTCACCACACACTCACCGATGTAGTCGAAGCATCCAGGAGCCAGGCGCTCCGGCAGGTGCGCAGAGTAGAAGAAGGAGGCCAGGAGAGTCATGGCCATGTGCTTCTGGTGGTACAAGGTGGCTTCGTTCTGAGTACTCTCCCCTGGGAACACGAATAGCTGCAAGTATTTAAAGAAACATCCAGTCTTGAGAGGAGGCCCCCTTCCTTGCCATCACCTGCATCTTGGCACACATGTGGGACTCCTTGGGCCAAGGCCCCCACCTCCGTGGGGCTGTGGCCTGGAACGGGAACTCAGGGGTTGTGTGAGCAGAATTCCTGTCGAGAGGGATCAATTGAGACCCAAGGCAAATGTCTTTTAATGCCCTGGATGCTCATGAGAGCCTTTTGGGTTATTTAATTACCAAAAAAAAAAGAAAGAAAGGAAAAGAAAAATCCTATCAGATACATTCCCACTCTTTTGTCCAGAGGTAATGTGTAAGTATAGTAAAAAGTGATCATTTCACACTTAAACTAGTTTCTAACTAGCACATCCTCTGAATTAATGCTCCTAACTAAGGCTTTAAGGCTTAGCAATCCCTCCAAGGCCTTCTGAGTCATCAAAAAGTATTAATTACGGCCATGACACTGTTTCAGAGTTATGTATAGTTTTTGTGTTATTGTTATAAATACCGACAGCAGCCACCACCTTCAGAGGGCACAAGGCCAGGTGTCATTTCATGGGCACCTCAACAATTGCCACAAGGCAGACTCTTATTTCCCCGTTTTGCAGACGAGGAAGCTGGGCTGGAGGGTGACTTGCAAATCACTAATCAGAAGTGAAGTCAGGATCTGGATCCAGGCAGGCTGCTTCCAGAATCCGTGCACTCGTCAACATCACCATTTAGGGTTAGGCCTCCCTCCCCACTGCCCACCGTGCACTGTGCTCCTAACGCCCGGACCTGTGCCGTGTGTGGTGTGGTGGCACGTGGGGCTGGCTTGGTCTCTGCTTCAGCTTCAGTGTGTGGTCTGTGTTGTGTCCTCGAGGAAGGAGTGGGGGAATGGACTGCACCGCCATCTCTGGGTCTCCCCCAGGCCCATACAGGCCAAGAACAGAGCATGTGGTCACGGCTCCAGCTGGGGAAGCCAGCTCTGCCCCTCCCCTTACTCCTTGGCCCTGCCATTTCGGTGTCAGGAATCAGACCCACAGGCTGCCTCTGGGAGCGGAACGCCATCCACTGGGTGCTGACCAAGGGCCAGGCATCGCTGAGCCCAGCAGATCTGTTGTTTTGATTAATCCCCTCTACCCCCTGTGGAAGAAGGGATGTTAATCCCACTTACAGATGAGATAACTGAGGCTCAGAGAGGTTATGTGCACTGGCTAAGGTCACAGAGCCAGTGAGCAGTGGGACTGGGATTTGAACTAAGGCCCATCTGTTTTGAGAGTGCATGGACTTCCTTCCTTCCTGTCTTTCCTCTTCCACCCTCCTCTTATTTTGTGTTATTCATCTAATTCCTCTCTCTGCTTTCAGATCTTCATTCATACTTTTCCCATCACTGCTAGTACCACATTAACTGACGATCGTATATAATAATGCTTTCTTTGGACTCTTGCCCCCATCGCATGTAATTCTCTCACAGCCTGATGAAAGGAGGTGTTATTACCAGGCCCATTTTACAGATGAGAAATCAAGGCACAGAGATGATAGATAACTTGCCCAAAGGCTCCCAGTGAGTAACTATTAGAGTCTGCTCTCCTGGTCGCTCTACTGAACGCCAGGCTGCTTCCCCTGCCCAGCCCTCTGGGATTGCTCCTGAGCCCGCAGTCAGCCGCTGGCTGGCATATCTCCTAAGGTTCCTCAAGGCCTCTGTGTCGTACTGTCTCCTGACTGCTCTGTGAGTGCCAGGCAGGAAGCACCTGGGTCTCCACTCCTGTGTGTCCTGTCGTTACCAGCGTGGTGCTGTGACCCTCAAGAGCTGAGGAGACAACCGACTTCCTCCTGTTGCCAATAGGCAGAGGAGACGGAGCAGGCCCTTACCCTGTAGAAGATGGGGAGAGAGTCCCAGGTGTAGGGATACGCAAATGCGAGGACACGGAGCATCTTACAGAGCCTGGGTGTCTGGAGCTCCAGAAACCTAAACGGGGAAGAAAAGAAATGACAGGGGTGTCAGTAAATCACACACACCTGCAAATGAAAACCAACTAAGGGCAAGCCATCAACGGGAGCAAGCATTCTGCACAACCCCTCCGGCAACTTCTCCACCAGCCTTTTCCTTCCTCCCCCTCCACCCTCCATGGGAGTGGCTCAACCTCAGATGTGGGAAGATCGCAGGGGAATCCATCTCCAGGCATCAGGAGAAGCAATGTATCCGGGCGAAGCCGGGAGGAGTGCTCGGCACAGCCCTGCAAACACCACGTAACCTAACTGCCAACAGCCTTTTGGGAGAGCGGTGACCATCAGGACGGGGGGTGTGGGCATGGGCGGCCGCAGTGGCGCAGGCCTGGGTGAGCGCATCTGTGAAGGCTGAGATGCCTAACTAGCCAGAACCACTCCAGTGTTTACCAAGGGAAAGCCTTGGTTCACTTAGCTGTTTAACTGTTCTGAGGGACTCCTAGGACATTTAATACCACACACAGGGATTCTACCGGCCTGGGGAAACTGAATAAATGTGGACTTTCCTTCTCTCCTTATCACCATCCCCGCCCACCTCCAATCCAAAGACATGTGAGATCAACATTAACACGAGTTGTGCTGATTGTCACAGACAGGCAGGCCCTCTGAGACAGAATGGGTGGTCGGCAACCTTCTCAAGGGCTGGAGCAGCGTCTGCTCAGGTCTGGATACCCCACACCCAGCTCAGCAGCACGTATGGGGTCCTGGGCAGAAGGTAGCATGGGGACCCCTGTTCAGGGGAACAGGCAGCCCTATGGAACCTGAGAAGCCTCATAGACTCCAGAGACAAGCTCCAGCTTCACTCAAGTCCACCGGCATATCTCTCCTTCGTTTCTGACTCTGCCTGTCAATCAGAGAAGCATGTGGCAGCCACGGGATGGGGAAGAAACAGAAACTCAAGGAGAAAGAGGAAGAGAAATAAGGGACCTCAATTCATCATCCCCCCAAACAAGAACCCCAGCCTCAGGGTAAACCACAAACCCCGGGACAGATGAGGCAGCACAGTGCTGTGATCGCAAACGCAGTGTTTGACCTGGACAGCCTGGGTTCAAGTTCTGCCTCTGCCCTTTGTGACTGTGTGAGCCTGCAGGTCATATAACCATTGTGTACCTCAGAATCTTCATGTGTAATACAGAGATGACAACTGTATCCCCTCATGGGCTTGCTGCAAAGATTTAAAATATATATATATATATATATTTTATTGATTTTTAGAGAGGAGAGATAGAAACGTCGATGTGAGAGAGAACCATTGATCAGCTGCCTCCTGCACGCCCCCTACTGGGGATTGAGCCTGCAACTCAGGGAATCGAACTGGTGATCTCTTGGTGCATGGGTCGACGCTTGATCACTGAGCCACACGGGCCGGGCTTGCTGCAAAGATTTGATAAAATGATACTCACAAGGAGCTCATAACTGCATAGCATAGTAACACTCACTAAATGGCAGCTTTTACAACAGGTATGTCAGGGGACCCATTCTCTCCCTCTCCCCATCTTGTAGCCACATTGTACCATAAAATAGGAACAGGAGGGAACAGACAGGTGCTGGGTGATTTGTCTAAAGTCAAATGGTTAATAAGAGACAAAACTAGGATTTAAACCCAGGCTGTCTGGCTCCCATTTCACACCCCCACTCTCCAGAAGGCTGAGAAGGCCCCTAGCCAGCCTTTGTTTGTCCTTATCTAGGCCCCTCTACCCTTGATATCCCAAGAATGAGGACTGGTCTCAACAGCCTCCTCTCCCCGGCAAGCCTGCTCCCTCCTTCCCCATGCACTGCCGCCACCTGTCATTTCTGGGGTAAAGGGGGCCCCCTGCGAAGGTGCGCTCTTCTGTGGCCACTTACACAGGAAGAAAGCTGGCTCTGGCTGGCGGGGGCCATCTCCCAAAGCATGGATTTCCTGCGACTGGAGACAACATTTCACCCAGCCCGATAAAGTGCTTTCCTGGGGGCAAACGAATCAGCCTCTCCAATAGCAAAGCTGAGTCTACAGGGAGAAAAGGGAGAAAAAGCAGAACAGAAGAGAGACAGCAACAGAGAGTAAAAGGCAGAAAGGTCAGCAGCCAGAGTGGGGCTTCCCACCACCAAGGTGCAATTCCAGGCCAGACCACATGGTGTTGCCACAGTCAGAGGTTTTGAGAGGGAAGGGTCCGAGCAAAGAATCCTGCTGAGCACCCCCCACCTCAAAACCCACCCTGCTAGAGTAGTCTCGGTACCACGCCAGGGTTGAGGGGCCAGTTTACTGGGAGTCGGGCCTCTTGGGACTAGAACCACGTTGGCAGGAAACACCAAATTTTAGGAGAAGCCTCCATCAAGAGGATCAATGCAATATCGGTCTGTTTTAAAACCTGATCAATCTTGTTGCAACAGAGCTGGATGGATTTGCCAGCGAATTCTAGGATTAGTGCTTGAAACTAGTGGGCCCTTGGAAACATCATTCTAATGCGGAGAGGTGTATGTGGGGGGCGGCTACGACTGTTTTGTTGTCTGGGGGATGGTGCAGGGATGTGGACATGTCCATGTACTGGCCCAGCTGCAGCAGCACTTTGTCATCTGGCTGAGCCCTCTGGCGGCCAGTGTATCTGAGAACCACTGTCGCTGAGCCTCCGGCCTCCGCTGCTCTGACCTCCACAGCACCACGGTCACGGCTCACAGCACAGCTCACTTTCCACCGGGGATGACAAGCCCTTTCTGTCCCTGACAGCACTGATCACAAAGATTTTCACTGAACAAGTATATGTCAAAAAACCCAACGGGTCGGATGCTTCGGACGGACAAGCAAAAAGGTCCCTACGGGGATCTGCGATGAGAACACTAACTCGCACTCCTACGGGAGTGATGCCTTCTGGGCTGTGGGTGGCTGCAGGCACGAGCAGGCCGAATGACCATCAGCCCACCGGCTCTGAGAACCACAGGGAGGTCATGCATCCCCCTCACTTCCCCACTCACATGCTACAGGACGAAAAAGCGGTTTTCTGGAACATGTTCCTTTGAACTAAATCCCATGGTAGTAAGGACCGAATAACCAGCAGGGGAGCCCGTGGGTCTATGTGGGGCTTCACCTGGAGGACGTGCACTGTAATGGAATGAATGCCGTTTAGACCACGATAGTCTGGTAAGCATGTGAGCAGGTGAAAAGCTACTAATGAGGTTCATGTCTCCGCCCTGCTCAGGGAAGGAGAAGGTGGTTCCGCCGCTCCTGGCCGTACGTACCGGGACTCAGGGAGCAGAAGGGAGCGGCAGGAAAGAGATCTCAGAAAAGAAACTGGCAGTGTAGAATGCCCACACTGGGGAGAAGCCAGACGACATCTTCTCAGATGCCCTTGTTTAAGGTGCAGACACTGAAGCTCAGAGGGGCAGTGACTGGCCACACAGCAAGTCCGGGAGACGCCCCCCCAACACCTGCTGCTCCGAAAGGTAATCAGGGCCAGAGTCACTCCCTGCCCGTGTCATCTTTTCCACTCCTCAGCCACTGAAAACGATGACGACAGGGAATGAAAACAAAAAGGACAGGCCTTGTAAGATCAGGGACGCCACCAACACGGAAAGGAAAGAGGACAAGGGGAGGAGGAAAACTAAGGGCGCTCACAAGGGGACCCCATTCTCCCTCTGGCTCCGAGAATGTGGTGTTCGCCCCCTTTCTCCCCTTCTGCTGCAGCACAGACCCCTCGCCAGTGGTTAACACACTTGGAAGCCGCTCAGGGCATGGACGCTGAGTCCAAGGAATTCTCTTCCTGGGAAGATTACTGTCCTTCAGGAGCACAGGGCCAGTGCCCGGTAGGGCACACGCAGCACTGCCGATCCCCAGCCACCTTTGGGCCCCTCCCCGCAGCTCTCTCCCTCCCAGCCATCCGGGCTCTGGCGACCCGGGCGCTCCTGGCTGCCTCCAGTGCGTGCCTCCCCCCGCCCCACCCTGTCCAGGCGGTCTGCTCTGTCCAAAGGTCCCCTCTCCTCTCGGCGGAAGTGCTGAGCCTCCCTCAGCACTCAGTCCTGATGCCCAGAACCCTGGGTATCCGTGCAGGTGTCACTTTGTTTTATTATTTGTTTGTATTACATTCTGTAACGCTGCACTCCAAAGGCCATTTCCCCTTGGCCTTCAGAGGAAACCAGGACTCCATCTGGACTTTTGGAGGGGGCTGCATTTTGCTTCTCCTAATACACTGGGCACTCTGAGGGCAAGGACTGACCTCACTCCTCTTGGTGTTCCCAGATCTTAACATGATGCCTGCAGCATGGCAGGCACGTAAAGCATACTGATGGCTGGGTGGATGGATGGCTGGATGGACGGAAGGGTGGATGGGTGGGTAGTGAGTGGATGGATGGATGGATGGATGGTTGGATACATGGATGGATGGAATAGCCACAGGTGTGGCCCATAAATAAACACAAATAATCCACTTCATTGCTAAGGGAAAAGACCTCAACCATGGTCAGTCAATAAATTCCTGGCCAACCTGCCCTGCCAAACAAGTTTGTCCAAAGGTACCAGGCTTGCCACATGCAAAAGACCCATTCATTGTATCTGAACAACCAGGGGGGACTCCTGGCTAGAAGAAAACAATCCACCTTGATGGTTTACAGGTAACTCAGGAAACTTAAAAAAAAAAAAGCAGCAAATGTTTCAAGAATTTGCATTGGGAGTTCACGGGAAGGCAGTCCTGGCTCACAGACAATGCCACCCTCTGATCCGAATCCCAAACACAGAGCTGCATGGCCCTGCAGGAGCTGGCCAGACAGGACAGGGACTTGTCGAGGCCCAGGTCCAGGTGTGTCCGGGTCCCTGGACCAGGCCGCCAGTGAGCGCCCCCATCCCAGCACGCGGCCTCAGGGGCACGCTTCACCTCTGGAGGGGTTTTTAGCATCCTTGTCCTTTTCTGTGCTGTCCTCCTGTCTCACTCAAGACAGGGACCCGACCTCCTCTCTCCATCACCTCTGCAGCCCTCCCCGCTCTGGCCTGGCACAAGGGCTGCACTTCAGAAAGAGCTTTCAATCACCAGTGTCCTTGAGGAACGGGGTGGGAGGACAATCACCCCGTGATATCTGATTCTATTGATCCTGTGGGCAGGCCCTATCCTCGCTGCTTTAGCTCTGCCGTTTCCAGAAGGAGGAAAGAGAGAGTTTATCCCCGACTCCTACCTCAGGCCTTTCCACGGGGCGGAACCACAAACAAGACTCACACCCACGAAAAGCAACTGCTCGTTCCAACCTGTCCCCGGACAGGTAAGTGGAGGGCAAGTTGGAGCAGGTGTTCTGATGCTGTTGAAGAATCTACCTTTCCATTCTTTTTTCTTTTTAAATCCTCACCTGAGGACATTTTCCATTTTTTGTTCAGATAGAGTGGGAGGGAGAGAGAGGAAGAGAGAGAGAGAGAGAGAGAGAGAGAGAATTGACGTGAAAGGGACACATTGAGTGGCTGCCACCCGCATGACCAACCAGGGCCAGGACAAACTGCAACCAAGGCACATGCCCTTAGCGGGAACCGAACCTGGGTCTCTCTGGACCACAGGCCGATGCTCTAACCGCTGAGCCAAACTGGCCAGGGCTACCTTTCCATTTTTAAAGAAAACCAGTTTGTCAAGTTTGTGAAGCTTGCCTACCTCCACATCCCACAAAACCTAAGGGTCACCCAGAAAAAGCTGGAGCCACAGTCACTGTGAGGTTACAGAAGCACGCGCCCCGCCCACTTTCCCCTGCGGGGGGAGCACGGCCGCGGGAGCCGCCATTCCCTGAGGCCTGCACTTCCACAGGGAGACTCAGCTGGCTCACTGGAGCTGAGGCTGAGGGGGCTGAGGGCAGGCGTGACCTCAGACAACCTTGGCGCCATCGAAGGCACCCAGCCTAGGAAGCACCCAGCCACCCGGGCACCATCCACAAGGGCGGGTACCCGACACCACCATTCAAGAGGTTTCCTAAGTAATTTAGGGTACTGGAGCTTTGGGGCAGTCACTTTTACAAAGAGCTAAATATACTAGTTATTCTCAAAACAACGTCCCTTGCTCTCATTCCAATAAGCGTTCTTGAGTGAAAGGGGAAAAAAATCGAGGGAATTAGAGCGAGTGAGCTGGTGTGACTCATGGCCTTGGGGCTTCCCCCCGGGATGTATCCAACATCTGAGTATCATCTGTCACTCATCACACAGACCCAGAGGCAGACCCACTTAGTAAGGTAGCAGACTGCCAGTTTGCGGGAGCTCCTCTGGGCCAGGCTTGTACCAGGTGTTCTGGGGACATACGTACGTTACCTGGAATCCTTCCTTCCACCTCACCAGGTAGATGTTGGCCCCATTTATAGATGAGCAAATTGAGGGTCAAGAAGGATAAGTGACTGTCTAGCAACAAGACCAGCTACATAATTTGCAGGGCTCAATGCAAAGTGAAAATCATTAGGACTTTCAGGACAGCAATGGCAGAGCATTAAACCAAGTGTGGAGCCCTCTTGATTATGGGCCCTGAGCAACCGCGCAGGCTCTGTGCCCTTGAGGCCGGGCCTGCCCAGCCACAGGAAGTCCATATGGAACCGAGGCCCATGCTCCGAGTGCCTCTTGCACTGTCCCCTCCCACAGTCCATCGAGGTGCTGCAAGGCCCTCTCCCCGTCCCCCCATAGAGCGGCCAGGTACCTGGAGTAGCAGGAGAGGCCGGTGCTGAAGATGGTGTTCAGCACAGCCAGGGTCACGTAGTAGTCACGGAAGGTGGTGCACACCAGCGTGTCCGGGAACGAATAGGCAGAGTAGGCAATGGCTGAGCCTGGGGAAGAAAAATCAGCCTTGGGCAAGAAGCTACTACTCGGCACTGTCCAGACTCATTGGGAAGACCAACCCTAGCATGTGGCTGAGCCTCATCATCCCCACTGACCACTGGCGGTCCTGCTGCTACACCCTCGCATGTGGCCCCTGGCCCCATGCCCTCCCCTCTCTTCTCCGCCTACCCAGATCCTATCCTGAGAATCTACATTGCTCCATGGGCTGTTACACATAGTGACTTGCATAACCTTTACAACCACCACCCTGCACTGATCCTCATTTTACAGATGACCAAACAGAGGCACAGAGCAGTTTAGTAACCCACCCAGGGGCACACAGCTAGAAAGCAGCAAAGCCAAGCTTCGAGTGCAGGCAGTTCAGTGACAACCCCTGCTTTTAACCACATGCTTCAGTCCACGACGACACTCCAGGGTGCTCAGCTTTGGTCTGAGCGTGCACATGCGTCTGCCTGATGGCACAAGGTGCTCCTTGCGGAAAGGTCAAGGTGCAGGGAGAAAGGACCCTTGCCGAGAGCCGGGGTGCAAGAGGCTAGCCTCAGCATTTTAGGTCTCAGAGGTTGTGAGAGAAAGGTTAACTAAGGAACTTCACAAGACCTGTAGCTTTTAAGAACAGGGGACATCAGTGACTCTAGACACCCTCACCTGCTGAAGCCCTTCTGGGAGAGGCAGCCACCGGCCATTCAGCCCAGGGCCTGAGGGATTAGTCCTAAAGTCACTTGATATTCCAAAGGCAGAGAACATGAAATTCTAGCTCAAGGCTGAAACTGGGCTCAACCTCTGCCTCTGATCCCATTTGACAGATGGAGTCTAGTGAGGCCAAGTGGTATTCCCAGGGTCACACAGCCAGAAAGGCCTAGAACCGCCACCTGCTGGTCCAGTGTTCCCCACTCCAGCGGGCCACCTGTGGGATTTCAGCTGGACACTGCCTCCAGGGGACAATCTCCTCTCCCAGCCTGGTACTATGGGAGGTTCCCATCTGAACCAGGATGCATTTGCTCTGTGCATGTTGCCTGGGGCCTAGGTGCCAAGCTCTGTGGGTGGCACAAGAGCGAGGAGCCTCAGACGCTGCCAGAAACTACAGTGGGAAGCAAAATCGATCAGAGCCTCCAGGAAGGTCGCAGTGTGAGGTGGGCGTTCAGGATGGGCAGGCATCCAGCAAAGGGGCTGATCTGGGAAGCCTCCTTAGGAGGTGGGGGATTCGGACAGGGGCCTGAGGGCAAGAAGGGCTTTCCGGGGAGCAGAGCAGGAGACGGCTTTGATGCCAGACTAAGGGAAGCACATTTTATCTTTCAGGCAATGGGAGCAACAGGAAGGATTCCCTTTTTTTTTTATCCTCACCTGAGGACATTTTTTGCATTTATCTTCAGATAGAGCGGGAAGGAGAGAGAGAAACATCAATGCGAGAGAGACACATCGACTGGTTACCACCCACATGACCCCAACCAGGGCCGGGAACAAACTGCAACTGAGGTATGTGCCCTTAGCGGGAACCAAACCCGGGTCTCTCTGGTCTGCGGATTGACGCTCTAACCACTGAGCAAACTGTCCAGGGCAGGATTCTTTCTTTTTTTTTTATTTTTTTTTATCCTCACCCGAGGATATTTTTCCATTTTTTGTACAGATAGAGTGGGAGGGAGAGAGAGGAAGGGAGAGAGAGAGAGAAACATCGACGTGAAGGGACACCTCGAGTGGCTGCCACCCGCACGACCAACCAGGGCCGGGGACAAACTGCAACCGAAGTACGTGCCCTTAGCGGGAACCGAACCCGGGTCTCTCCGGACCGCAGGCCGACACTCTAACCGCTGAGCCAAACTGGCCAGGGCTTTTTTTCATCTTTTGTTCAGATAGAGTGGGAGGGAGAGAGAGAGAGAGAAACATCGACATGAAAGGGACACATCGAGCAGCTGCCACCCACACAACCCAACCAGGGCCGGGGTCAAACTGCAACCAAAGTATATGCCCTTAGCGGGAACCGAACCCAGGTCTCTCGGGACTGTGGGCTGATGCTCTAATTGCTGAGCCAAACCGGCCAGGGCCAGGATTCTTTCTTTAAAAATATTTTTTATTACATTTTACATTTAATATTATTTTGTACTAGTGTCAGGTGTAACTGGAAGGTTTCTGAGTGGGGGATTAAGGTGACCAAAATTGAATGAAAGTGCACAGGATGGTCTGGGCAGGGAACAGCTGGAAACCAGGGGAAGCTGGAGCAAAGCCACCTTCCAGGGGTTGGAGGAGAGGTGGCTGCAGACCTGGAGCTGGGTGTCCCGGTGACCCCACAGGCTCTCTCAGCCACTAGGCCTTCCTTCCTGTTTACTAAACACCCCACGTCAGGCACTGGGCTACAGGCTGGAAGGCCAAATGTGAAAGGTCTCTTTGTGTTTATGTGTATCTGTGTGTGCATGTGTATGTGTGTCTCTATGTGTGTATGTGTGTAGTTTGTGTGCGTGTGTGTACATGTGTATGTATACATGTGTATATCTATGTGTGTGTATATGTGTAGCTTTGCGTGTATCTGTAACTTTGTGTGTGTATGTAAATTTTTGTGTGTGTATGTGTAACTTTGTGTGTTATGTGTAACTTTGTGTGTTATGTGTAACTTTGTGTGTGTGTGTGTATGTGTAACTTGTGAAGAAAGAGAAAAGAGGAAACAGCATAGAGGGGCTCCTCATGAACCCCCTCTTGGGGAAGGGAGACCTAGAGCAGGATTAGGAAGGAGGAGAGGCTATGACTGGGATGTGAGGGGACAGATGATGCCCACAGTGGGGAGAGGAGAGGCGACAACAGGAGGGGGTATCACAGTTAAAGGAAAACACAAGCTCAGCGGGGGTGGCTCAGTGGTTGAGTGTTGACCCCACGCAGTGAGAGGTCACTGGTTTGATTCCCGGTCAGGGCACATGCCCAGGTTGTGGGCCCGATCTCTAGTGGGGGGCGTGCAGGAGGAGGCCAATCGACATTCTCTCTCATCGATGTTTCTATCTCTCTCTCCCTCTCCCTTTCTCTCTCTCCAAAATCAATAAAGAAAAAATAAATAAAGGAAAACACAAGAAGATTGGAGCTTCAGGTTCAGCACACAGTCCCCATGGCACTTTGAGAAAACTGCTAACTCCTCCAAGCCGCTGGACACATGTGGTGTGTGGCCACCCACTTCCCTGCCAGCGCTGATGTGTGGGGTGGCTCACCCTGGCCTGCAGAGCAGATGTTAGTTTCAGAGGACTTGTGAGCCAATTGCTAGACACAGCTTCATTAACAATTAAATGACATAAAGTTATAATTAAATGAATCATATTAACCAAAGTAATAACTATTCAATTAATCCATCTACTGTGTTAGTACAGAGGAATGACTAGTAATGGTGTGCCACTGGGTATCTCTCCCCACCCGTGTTCGGTGGCGTCATGGTGGTGGCTTGAAGTCTTACATGGGGGAGTATGTATACCAACAATCAGCAAACACCACAGACCAGGGCTTTTGTCCCCAGAGAGCCAGCTGGTAAGTATTGCCAGCACACTTTGTACAAGTTGCTATAAAATACTCATCGGGCCCTGGCCGGTTTGGCTCAGCGGTTAGAGCGTCGGCCTGCGGTCCTGAGAGACCCGGGTTCGGTTCCCGCTAAGGGCATGTACCTCGGTTGCAGTTTGTCCCCGGCCCTGGTTGGTTATGCGGTGGCAGCCACTCAATGTGTCCCTTCACGTCAATGTTTCTCTCTCTCTCTCTTTGTTCCTCTCCCTCCCTCCCACTCTACCTGAACAAAAAATGGAAAAATGTCCTCGGGTGAGGATAAAAAAAAGAAAGAAAAAATACTCATCGGGAACCTAGACAGGGCACTGCATTCCCATGACTCTTCTGCAAGCCCTTCGAAGGTTAATGGCGACTCCAGCTCCCAGGGGAAGGGACAGGTAGCTTGGTCCCAGTGGAGGGAAGTTGAGAGCGAGGCCTCACCTACCCAGGCTGAAAAGGTTGACAGCGCCATAGTCCAGGAAGTAGCAGATGTGCCGGGCATTCTTGGACATGGAGCTGAAGGTGTGTGCACAGCTGGACGCAAGGGGGTACACGCAGCTGGTGCTCATGTACACAAGCAGAGGCCAGGAGTAGCTGTCATTCTGGACGTCTATCACATACAGTGCTGTCACGAACCTCCACATGAAGAACCTGGAACACAGCATGGCCCACTCAATTCCCGTGGCTGGGGGTTCCTCTTCTCCTCAGCTGACTATTTTCTGCCTTCCGTTACCCTGGGGTGGCCAATCCCTGTGTGTTCTCACTTTGGTGAAATGCCACGAGCAAGGGAGGGTGAGCAGGGTCCCTTTTTGGTTAGAAATGAGCAGGAGGAGCAAGAAGAGAGCCTTTATCTAGCCCAGTCCCCTCTCCCTGCTTGTGGTGGTCGATGCCTCCTGCAGCATCTTGCCCAAGTGAACCTCCAGTCTCAGCCTGCAGGCTTCCAGGGGTGGGGCATCGGGAAGTTCTTCACTAAGCTGTCATCGGTCTCCCTGGAATCTGTCTCCATCTGATCAGCCCTAGTGTTTCCTGACAGGACCATAGAAAACAAACCCATCGAACATCTTACGGCAGTCTCCATAACCCTTCCACACCTCTCTGAACTTCACCTAAATAACTCTGGTGCATTCAACCACTCCCCATAGGCTCCACATATGACCTGGTCACCATCCCTGTGGTTTGTCTACGTCCCCCACACAGGAAGGCTCCTCAATCAGAAGCAATTCCCCAGGGGGGCCCTGGAAGTCTAGAGGACAACAGAATTTTTTTCTCCCTTCTCTTCCACACGATTCCTCCACTAACACCACACTTTTCTGAGCGGCCGAGGCCCATGCTGAAGCTCAGCCGAGCCTGGGTCTCTGGGTCCATCTCTGCACGGCCCTATCACACACCTGCATCAGGTCTGCTTGACCTATAACCCACGCGAGGGGTCTTGCCGCCAGAGCTGCCCACTTCCACACACTGCTAAAGAGCCAGCCCCCTTCCCCTGAACTCTCCCAGGGAAGGAGACCGCAAAGCTTTTCACGCAGGAACCCAAGGAGCATTGCTATATCCTCTGGCTGTACCTGGGATCTTTCCCCTCCTGTCCCGGCAGAAATAAAGCTTAAGCTATTTGCTGCTTCTCAAAACATATCCTTTGATCATCTTGAGATTGTTCCCTAGTCCCCTTCCGTAGGGCATCTTACTCCCGGCTCTCCACGCCCTCCTGCCCCTCTGTGCTGTGCAGCTGGGCCTGGCAGCGTAGGGTGCGTACGCAGCGGGCGCCCCAGCCAGCGCGGCTCAGCTGCCCAACAGCTAGGAAGTCATCCCACAGGATCTGCACAGGGCTCAGGCCTCGCAAACAAGGACGGCCAGGCCAGCACCTTTGTAGAGGCACAAACTTCAAAACACCCCAAAGCACCTGCGGTTCAGCCGTAAAACGAACACTGTGCAGCTGTTCCAAAGCCGGAGGGACTGTGGTCAGAGCTCCCCGGGGGAAGCAGAGCAGGGGAGGACAGTGGAGGGAAGAACAAGGCTCTGGGGGGACACCCATGTCATGGCTGCTCCCATCCCAGGGGAGCTCTGGGGGGACACACAAGAAGCAGGTCACTGGCGGCCCCAGGGAGAAGAGGGGCCGTGGAGATACACTGACTTCCCTTCTGCAAGTTATCACTTGTTAGCATCTAGACTTTTTACCTAGTTTTACTTAAAACAATAAAAGCCTCCTTGGGCAGGATCATGCTGTCACCCCGACCCATTAGCAGTCCGTGGGCTTCTTTACAGATCACCCTAGTCTACCACAAGTCCGAGTGCTCTCTCCTCCCCTGGGAACGTTTCTGGCACCTTCCCCTGCGTCGTGGCTCCAGGTCCATCTGTGCCCTTGATGGAGCACATCCTTGGGCCCGTCTCCACCCGTGCCCACTCAGGGTTCCTCCTCCTCTCTTGGTTTCTCAGCATGGCTGGAGTCCAGAGACCAGCCGGTGTCCTCGTGGTGCCGTGTGAGCAGGCCATCCCTTTCTCCAGGCCACATCTCTGCCAATGGCAGCCGGAGTGGGACGGTGGCCAGCACGACCTCTGAGGTCCTTCCAGCTCGGATATCCTATGACTCAGCCTCTGCCCCCACCTCCATTCTCCCCTCATTACGCACAGGTATGAGGTGTGTGAAGCTGCTCTGTGGACCCCTCCTCCCTCCTTCTCAGCAGGTCCCTCCTCTCTTCACCTTCCTGGCATGTCCCGTCTGTGCGTATGTGCCCGCCCCAGAGCTCTGCGCTTGGCTGCCTACGGCTGCTGCGCTTCCCGAGGGATTACAGGGCACCCACGGCTCTGAGCCGGTGCCTTCCAATGTCTCTGCCGTGATCCTCAGCACCCCGGGAGGTGTGGACTATCCTCCTGCAGATGGAAGAACGTGAGCCTCAGAGAGGTTAAACAACCTGCTCAAGCTCGTGACATTTTTTTTTAATCTTCACCTGAGGATATTTTTCTATTTATCTTCGGATAGAGTGGGAGAGAGGAAGAGAGAGGGAGAGAGGGAGAAACATCGATGTGAGAGGGACACATCGACTGGCTGCCTCCCACAGGACCCTGACCAGGGCCAGGGACGAACTGCAACCACGGTATGTGCCCTTGACCGAAATCAAACCCACAACTCATTGGTCCACGGGCCGACACTCTAACTGCTGAGCCAAACCGGCCAGGGCAAGCTCATGATGTTTTAACTGGGGCTTTTGGGGGACCCAGAAAGCCCCCAAGTTTGAGGAGATAAGGTCAAAGCAGGCCTGGGAGCAGGGGAGCAGAAAAAAGTGAGGACCCACCAGGAGCCCCACAAATCCTGCCACAATCCATGATCTGAAGCTCACCTCAGCTCCACACCCACACATCACGAAGCGTTCCCACGATCCCAGCACAGCATCTCAGCCCTCCCCACCCCAGATGTGTTTTAAAGAAGCCCTGGCTGCAGGGCTCCTGAACGAGATGGCTGGTTAAGGGGGCTGGAAGGTACCAGAAAGGCAGCAAGTGAGTCCAGATGTTGAGGGTCTCATTGGTCATTTGGAAAAGGCTGAGGACACAGGCAGTGGCGGAACTCTGTGGATGTCGGTAGCCAAAGAGGATGCCCTGTTCATGGAACACCTGTAAGAGGAGGAAGAGGGGAACCGAGGTGAGACGAGGGGGTGGGGACAGAGGAATACTTCTGGCAGCATCTGGTTTTCTCCCAGGCAGTGCACGTGAACACTTGAACCTGGAACATTTGACCTCTGTCAAAAGGCTCCCATCCCCCTTAGCTTCAAAAACCCCATGTCCTTGAAGAGGCCTACAGCCAGCTGCAGAGAGAATTCAAGGCCCTAGCTCCCTTCAGAAATCCAGCTTGTCTTCCATTCTCAGAACACTTACTCTTGTCATGAATATTGTTTAGGAGTCCGGTCTGGCACCCTCTGCCTGGGGCCTATAGCCTGTTCTGTGGGTGCCTCTGTGGCTGGCTGACATAGGTGCTGTCTGTCTGAGCCCACATGACTGGATGTCAGGGGCTGGTGGGAAGATCTCTGCAGAAGATCCCTCTTGGATATATTCACCAAGGTGCTTCATAAAGGCCTTTTGATGATGAAGACCATGATGGCATCAGCCCGGGCTGAGGCAGAGGAGAAGGCTGGCCACGGCAGGCCCACACAAGCCACCCCCACCTGCACAGCCCACTTGGCAAGTCTCTCGGCAACCAAGCCCCCATGAGAAGCTGGGACTAGTCGGGTAAAACATGGGCATTAGCCCCCCTGAAGGACTATACTACATCCATTGAATGGTCACTGTGAAGACAATGAGGCAAGAGGGACATAAGCTCACGAATTAAGTGAAAACAAGTAGAATGTAAGTTGTATTCCCATGACGGTAAGAACCATAGACATTTCAGTACACGTGGTGGGGCAGAGGCTGGGAAGAAACAGAAAGTGATGAGTTTTATTTGCTGAGGTAGCAGGATTTGTAGGACACTTTTCCCTCTTTGTGTGGGTTTAGATCAGAGTTTCTCAATCTTGACACTATTGACATTTTTGGCCAGATAACTCTCTGGGTGGGGGCTGCCCTAGGCATTGCTTAGCAGTGCCCCTGCCGCTCCCTAAGAGATGCCAGCAGCATCCATGGTGCCCCCTCCCAAGTTGTCACAACTCAAAATGTCTCCAGATATTGCCAATGTTCTGGGGTAAAACCTCCCCCAGTTAAGAACCACTGATTTACATGAATGTTGTTATAACCTTCAGGAGGTAAATTTAAAATGAGTAGAATTCAGGGGCGGGGAACCTTTTTTCTGCCAAGGGCCATTTGGATTTTTCTAACATCATTTGTGAGCCATACAAAATTATCAGCTTAAAAATTAGGCTGCGATATTTGGTCGGGCTACTTTGGTGCGGTGTATGATGTTAGCTGGTATTGATCTCGTGGCCTTATACAACCCAAGGGCTGGACGTTCCCCACCCTGGTGTAAATAATTGAGGCAAATATTAATAATATCAGTAATCATGACACAGATCAAGTCACAGTACATTTTAAATCTTTCCCTTTGATTTCCTAGGGCTGTGGGAGGAAGGGAAGGCCGGAGAATCCGACCAAGCCACGCACCTCCCATCTGAGTTACCAGCTTCTTATTTTAAGAGAGGATCCTGACGCAGACACACTAACAGAGAACATAACTCGTATTATCTTTTGAGGTTCTGAGTCAAGAGGTCACTTGAAATAGTAGAGAAAATAAGGGGGAATTAAAGAAGCAAATGTGGGCCCTGGCCGGTGTGGCTCAGTGGCTGAGCGTCGACCCAGGCACCAAGAGGTCACCAGTTCCATTCCCGGTCAGGGCCCAGGCCCAGGTTGTGCGCCCGAGCCCCAGTGGGGGACTTGCAGGAGGCGGCCAATCAATGTTTTCTCTCATTGATGTTTCTATCTCTCTCTCCCTTTACCTTTCTCTCTCTCTCTCTCTCTCTCTCTCTAATATCAATAAAGAAAAAAACATTAAAAAAAAAGCAAATGTGGGCCAATGAAGTGACACGTGACCTTGCGCTGGGTCACACTTCTCAGGGCCTCACTGTCTTCACCTACGAAATGGGAGGTATTAGCTAGCTGGATGGTCAGTACATTCCCTTCTTAGTTCCCTTCTGGGTTAAACCAGTCAACTGGGGGAGGAGGGTAATGAAGTCGGTCCACGGTTCAGTGAAGAAATACTATTTGAATTAGATTTGGGTCTTAGCTAATTAAAGCGGTTTGTTTCAGATTCACCGTTCCATTCTGCTGACATCCTGGTTTGCAGAGGACAGGCTGCTCTAATGGGCGGCAAGGACCTTGGCGTGCAGCTGCCCACCCCGCCAGGGCTGCCTGCAAGGAGGCAAATGGGACAGGCATCGGCCTTTGGTCCGTGTGAGGAGGATGGTGGGCTCGGCGCATGCTCAGAAGACCCTCCCGTAGAAACTAGAGGTCATTCATCCTACCTCTGATGATTCTTTCTTTCTTTAAATTAAAAAAAAAAAAAAATTAAAGCTTTGTCCACTTATTAAAATGCAAAGACTCTGGAAAGAGCAGTTGTTTCCACTCTGTCCCACCAATGAGTTTGGCGGATCCTGTCAGCAGGAGCTCTTGTGACAAGGGTCCTGCTCCTGCACGGCACTGGGCATGCAGCGGGGCGCACAGAGGGAGGAGACACGGTGGGGCTGCAGGACAGCTGCACACAGTGGATCACAGGTGGGCAGTGGATGGACACGAGCCAGAGAGAGATATCACCTGCACTTTTCCAAGGGTGACTTCAGGGTGTGACTACTGTCCTTCTTTCTTTGGGCCCCAAGTTTTGGGAGGCAAGAGAGGATGCTGACATAGTCAAAATCCAGAGGAGAACAGATGGGCTGGGAAATACACAAACTAAACATCTTGACCACACTTAAGAACCTGGCCCAGACCTGGGGAGATACCTACCATCAAAGCAAGGGCTGGGTCCAAATGGAAAGAACCTGCTTCCGTCTGAGCTGCTATCCTGATCCCAGATGTGGGTGGGAAGCTAACATGAACCATGCCACAGGGGCAGGATTTAAAGCACCCCTCCTCCCCAAAGTACAGATGGATAAAGGATGGATGAAAGACAGAGTCCTTCGGTCCCACAACAGTGATCTTCTGACCCCCCTCACTCTCCTCCCCAATTTGAACCATGATTAGGCCACATTGCCAGGCACACTCCATGGCTGAGCCCCTCTGAGCTTGGGAAGGGGACTCATTCTCCCCATCTTCCCATCTAGTCTTAGCAAAGTGCTTTGCACAGAGTAGATCTTAACAGAGTGCATGCCACATAAATCTAAACAAATGAAATATTTGAAAACAATTTTGTATTCACACCCAGTTTGACTCCAAAAGGCAAATTGCAATCACTGCCTCAATGCTCTGTAGCTGGGCCTCATTTCTAAGCACCCCCAGGTTAGCAGGCACCAGCTTATTTGCACAGCAGAACTGATTTGCAGGACTCCGCCTTGCATCCCTGGTTGCAGGCTGGGCAATTTAGAGCGAAATGAAATCAAATTGTGCACAGCCTATTATTTAGAAGTGAGAACCCCCAGGCACCGGGTGGAAGGGCACGTCAGCAGGTTTTCCTTTTAGTGTCAGCCACGGGCTTGGCTTCCACAAAAGACCCTGTGCACCTGCCAGCTGATGCCTGACATTCCACTGCGACTGTTTTAAACCCTTGGTTTCTCTAGCTATTAAATTGCAATCACCTGGGGAAAATAATCGGGCATTCTGGCTGGTGGCAAGTACGTGGATTTTGATAAGCAAGCGAAGGGGAGAGGCAGGGGGGTCAGGAGGCCGCAGGCACCCTCAGTGTGGAAGTCTGCATTTCCTGTCCAAATCTCATGGCATCCTCACAACCTTGTGAGAAAGAGCCTTCTATTGTCCCTACTTCACAGAACAGGGAACTAAGGCCTGAGGAGGTTAAGGCATATATCCAAGATCCCAGATATAGTGGAAGCAAAGTTAAGACTTAAATGCAAACATCAGACTCCATCTCCCCAGCCTCTTACACTATCATCACAGCTGCTCAGAAGGGCTCTGTCGGAGATGAAGCTCTCGTCTCTCGGCCCACAGGGTGATTTTGGACTGCCGCATACTTCTCTGAGCCTGTTTCTTCTTCTTTAAAGTGGTGTTTGGGCTGAATTGTGTCCTCCAGAAAATTCATATGTTGAAGCCCTAATCCCCAGTACTTCAGAATGTAATCATATTTGGAGATAGGGTCTTTATTTATTTAAATTTTTGTTTCTAATTTTATTTATTTTTATTTTTTTACTTTATTTTTCTCCAGTTTTAATTTATTTGTTCATTTATTGAACAAATATTTATTTTGGGCTCTACTGTGGTTATAGTGAGGTCCATATAGATACACAGTTTAAAACCACTATATATACATACAACTTTTTGCAAAATATAAAAACGCACCCCTATGTTCATAGCAGCACTATTTACAATCACTAAGATCTGGAAATAGTCCAAGTGCCCATCAGCAGATGAGTGGATAAAAAAGCTGTGGTACATATACACAATGGAGTACTATGCAGTTGTAAGAAAGAAAGATCTCTTCCCTTAGAGACAGCATGGAGGGACCTGGAGAGTATTATGCTAAGTGAAATAAGCCAATCAGAGAAAGACAAATACCATATGATCTCACTTATTTGTGGAACATAATGAACAAAATAAGCTCTCGACCAAAAGAGATCCAGAATCATGGAAGCAGGGAACAGACTGACAAACCTCAGAGGGATGGGGGAGGGGTGGGAAGAGATAAACTAAAGAACTTATATGCATATATGTACAACCAATGGACATGGGCATTAGGCTGGGGAAGGCAGGAGGTGGGTAGGAGTGGGAAGGAGGGGGGTTCAATGGGGAAAAAAGAGGGACATCTGTAATACTTTCAACAGTAAAAAATAAAGGGACAGTGGATTGAAGATAGGGTCTTCAAAGTGGTGATTAAGTCCAAATGAGGTCTCTAAGGTGGGTCTCAATCCGATCTGACCAGTGTCCCTCATAAGAAGAGGGAACTTGGACACACAGGTTGACACAAGGGGGGGGGTGCGTGCACAGAGGGATGACCACATGAAGAAGCAGTAAGAAGGTGACCATCT